TATTATTATCCGTATTATAAAAATGAAATTTTGAAATATCATGATAAAATAATTTCTAAAATTAAAGACAAAATTAAAAAATAATGAATATACAAAGGGAAAACTAAATCACAACTTAAACAATTGAAAGATTTCAAAAATAAAGTATTAAACAGAAGAAGATATTGATGAATTATAGAAATTATATAATCCTGAGCCGCAAAGCCAAAGGAACAAAAGCCAAAGAAGAAAAAGCCGAAACAACACCAAAAGAGAAAGTAGCAAATGTTCAACAGCTAAAGGTGCAAAACGCCCAGGTCCTTCAGACCATAAATGATGCACAAGCTTTAATTTATGATTCATTAGTTTAAACCATATTCAGCCCGACTTTTAAATGAAGATCAACTTTTGGAATTCATCCTTCAACATAAACTCGAAGGGGAAAGTATATCAAATCTTTATATACAGCATATTTAAAACAAATGAATAGAATACATCAGAATTAATGAAGGGAAGAATGAAATCCAAAACTTCATCATCCAAAATCAAAGCAGATAAAATTAAATCACTTGCAATACCAAAAACCTCCAACGGTAGTACCTCCTCTTCAGTTAATTCTTCATCATTCACTTTATTATACTCCATTTCAAACATTAAAGAAGCAAAAAGATTTTAAAAAGGATTTCAAAATATTAATAAACCAACTGACCCAAAAATTCAACCGTTAAAGGAAAAATTTAGTCGCCCTTCATTTGCACCATATCCATATTCATACGAAAATAGATCATCTGGAATATTCAAAAGGAAACGTTACTTATTTATTTGCCATTAACATTAATACTAGATATTTATATTGCATTCCGGTGAAAGGGAAAACAGAACAGGAACAAGAAGAGCTATTCAATACTTACTAGATCATGAAAGAGTAGATAATATAAGGGGTGATGGTGATAAAGGATTTCAGGCAGCTATGATTCATTATTTCCACAAATTAATTTTTACTTCTCATCCTCTCCATATACGTTTCATAATAAAATAGTTGATGCGGTAATGAGAACTCTTAGAGATGCGTTAGGGGTTAACGGTCAGATATACTGGATGGAAATCATGACTCCATCATACAGCAGTTAGTATATTATTACAATAATACATGGCATAGAACTATAAACATGAAACAGTGGAAATGAAAAAATGATATTTCAAAAGAATGGGAATATATTAGAAAGCAAATGGAAAGGTTGAATGATGTTAAACGTGAACAAATTAATTCAGGGCTCATGAATTTAAACAAGGGGATAAAGTTTTGATTCATCTCGATTATGGAAAACTGATAAATCAATGACAAAAAGAAGACGAAGATTTGACACAATAGCTGAATTTGTTAGATATTTAACGGTAATGTATTAGTTGAAGTTGCAATAAATTAATAGAAATTCCAATTTATTTTATTACTCCATTATATTTTAAATAATATTTAATTTTTTTATTTCGTAAGAAATGAGTGACAACAAAGCGGCCAAGAGTCCAGACAATGAATAAAAAAGAAACTAAACAGAATTAAATCAAAAATATGCTATTACAAAAAGAAGCCGCAATGCGGTGGGCTGAAAACGATAAAGAGAGGAAAGAAATAATCGAAAAATTAGAAACTACCGTTCAATCCTTAAACTGAGTGAAGCAAAAATAAAAAGAATTTAATAGAATAAATAAATTGATTGGAAGAGATGAATTTAATAAAGATGAATTTTTAACTCAATCCAAATTTAATTTTTTATTCCTCATCTTCTTTCCATCATCACTGCATAACCACATCTTCTCGGTTTTCGTGGTTTGTTGTTTTTAATTAGTTCTTGCATCATTTTTATCATTTCCTCCCTTGTTATGATTCGTGGTAAATTTTGAGCTTGTGGGGTATCCATTTATATAAAAATAAAATTTTGTTATCAGTTATTTCATCGTAAATGTTTTGTCATGATTTCATCGTAAATGTTTTGTCATGACTTCATCGTAAATGTTTTGTCATGATTTCATCGTAAATGTTTTGTCATGACTTCATCGTAAATGTTTTGTCATGATTTCATCGTAAACACTTTGTCATGATTTCATCGTAAATGTTTTGTCATGACTTCATCGTAAATGTTTTGTCATGATTTCATCGTAAATGTTTTGTCATGATTTCATCGTAAATGTTTTGTCATGATTTCATCGTAAATGTTTTGTCATGATTTCATCGTAAATGTTTTGTGAATGTCTTACAAACACGTATGAATATCTTATGCGGTGGGAAGCCAGATGGAAATAAATTTACGTCAAATATGCAATTTATAAAAACCTATGTCGACAGGCTATGTAGCACAGTGGTCTAAGGTGGTGTTATGGAGGGGTCAGGGTCTGTGGTTCGAACCGCGACAGCGCCGTATTTTCTTATTTTCTTTGTTTGTCTTGTTTGTCGTGAATAAAAAGTGTCATAAAAGTGCTCTATCTTCCACGGGAATAAATAAAAAATTTACTTTATTTCTTCTTTATTTCTTTGTTTTGGGTGGTTGACTTGGGAAAGGATGGGATGAGAGGGGTTTTGGGTGGTTGACTTGGGAAAGGATGGGATGAGAGGGGTTTTGCCGTTTTTTCTCAGCCGAAATCAATGATTTTTTCATTTTTGGAATCCTTAGCGAATGAGGAATCTTTTCTCTCGTGGAAGCTTTGACCAAAAATAATGTTTAGGTGAAGAGGTGAGATTTCACCCGTTTTTTCACCTCTTTTTTCACAAGCGTTTTACATGAATTGTACGATGTATATTTGAAATCCTAAACAATTTCGTAGCTTCTATTTCTTCTTTTAGTACATCGAATGTTTTAATCATGCCGAAAGTCTTTTTATATTTCTTCTTGACGTCAGACAGAAGGAAATCTTCTGTTGTTGGATAGTTTTTATTAAGAAATGTCAACATATCCATTTTATCTTCTGCTAGCTTTTCTGCTTCTTTCTTTAAGTCTGCATAGTCGTTTCGCATTCTTTCTATCTCTTTGACTGAGTAGTTATATTTTCTTATTGCTGCTTTACATTTTGAACATTGCGGCATCGTTTTTGCGTTATACATTGAAATAAAACCAGCTAGAACAACTAAGGCGTCAATGGTTTTCTTTAACTCAAAAGCTGCTGGTTTTATCTGTTCATTCCATACTTTACCTCTTCTATCTTTATCTCTTATCTGCCATACACATTTTGCAACTAATGAAACAAAGTTATCGTATGTCTTAAATTCTTCGGATTTGTAAAGGTCAGAAATATTTTTATAAACCATGTCGCAATTTTTGTCCATAACTTTATGGTTGCAATGAAAACCAAGGAATTCATAATTTACTTTACGTATGAATTTCTTAATTTCTACTGAGTCAGTTGCTTTGACTTCAATTTCGTCGAATTCAGGAATAGTTAGTTTTTGCTGCTGAATTTCAGGTAGTTTAGGCAAATGGTCGATGAGGTCCTCCATTTCATAAAGATATTGTTCATTTGTTTCATCTTTCGCACTACAGTCTAAATTACTTGTTAAAAGTTCTTGCTTTATCTTCTGGATTTCTGTTTCAAAAGTATATGAAGAAGGAATAAAGCTTTTCATCTCTACCAACATTGACGTAGGATTCATGACTAGCGAGTTTGGTGCTGTAGTTGTGGACAGAGTCCCACCGTTCGTGGCTTGAATTGTTGTTGTGCCGATTGTTGAAATCATATCTTTTATACAAAATAAAAATAATTTTAAAACTAACTTTAAAACTAACTTTATTTTTTCTATCATAAGGAAATTCATGAAAATTCGTGAGGGTGAAAAAACAGGTGAAATCTCACCTCTTCACCTCAATTATATTTTTGGTGAATTCAATAAAAATAAATGGTTCATTTACTCACAATATTTTTGTACAAAACGACCCCAAACTTTTAACTTCTTTTCTGCAGTTTCTAATGCTATCTTAGCGAGTTCATATTCTCTAAATTCTCTCTTTAAATCTTCTTGTTCCCATTGGTCTAGTTCGTATGGAGAATCTCTATAACCATAACATATCTCACGTTCATGTTCTAATTGTTTTTCGCACATTTTTCTAACTTCTTCTTCAAACAAATGTTTAGCATTTTCTAATGTATCTTCGAGTTCTTCTTCATCTAACTTCTCATGAACTTTCTTGTCTATGGAGTCCATAATTTTTCCAACTGCTATGCAATATTTTGGAGAAGCCCACATTGCTATATAGTTTATAAGTCTTGGGTCTACATATGTTCCTCTAACCTGTTTGATTTCATCAGGAATTCCTGCATGAATTTTGTATAAAAAGCAACAGTCCGAATTCCGGCGGTTGCTATATTCTTCACAAAACGCCTTATAATACTCTTCCCAGGACTTATTTTCCAACAACTTTCTAAAGTCTTTCCTAAACTGCTGACACATCTTTGTTGCATTAATGTAACCATCCTTGTCTCTACGTAAGACTTCAATACCATTATAAGTGCCTTTTGTGAATGTTTCGCCATTAGATTTGTTCGTGAACGTCTGTGCTTCGACTGACATTTCTGTTCTTACATACAAAATAAAAAAAATAAAAATAATTTTAAAACTAACTTTATTTTTGGGCTGCATCAAATTTCCTGTGTTGTTGTCAAAATGTCATGTTGTCATCATTTTTCAGAGAAGTTAATTAACCGAGTGACACATGGTGACGTAGTGACACCTTCAGTTCTTCAAAAATAATTAATTATTGAATAACCTGAAAACATTAACGTAAAAATATATTTCTGCAGTTCATCCATTACTTCATTACCTAATTAATTACAGACATAAAATATATTTAGTTCATTCGGTACCATGCAAATACAGTCACAAATGGTGGCATATAATCTGCACCCGAGCCTGTTGGATTTGTTGTGAAAGTATGGACATGATTTCCTCCCGGTTCAGTTTGTCGAAAAGTCTTTTTTGTTGAATCGTTATAAGCTGGAGATAAAACATCATTGCCAGCTTCATAGTCTGAGTTCTATAATGGGTGGTCTCTTAATGAGTGGCTATGATCGCCAGAAAAGTTTGTAGTTCCCGTATGAGTGTGCGGTGGAAGGTTTGCTTCTTTAATTTTCTTCGAACCTCCTGTTTGCTTTGAATATCTAGCACAGTATAAGAATTTATCTACAATCTGCTTCCACATACCAAAACCTAAAACTGTTGCTGGATTTGTTGAATTCATTGACGTATAAATAGAACCAACAGGATATAATGTTTGAAGTATTTCATTTTTCATGCTTGTAATCACATCATTTACTTCCGACTTCTTTGCATAATTTTCATCAACATAAGTTTTATCTGCTTTAAGGTCTAAACATCCTGAAACCCATTCTGTATCAGCTTTAACTTTAAAAGTCTCCGATGTCCATTCATGATACCATTCAACCTTTTCTTTAATTTCATTATCTTTTTCATCAACATAAGTTTTATCTGCTTTAAGGTCTAAACATCCTGAAACCCATCCTGTATCAGCTTTAACTTTAAAAGTCTCCGATGTCCATTCATGATACCATTCAACCTTTTCTTTAATTTCATTATCTTTTTCATCAACATAAACCAAATTTGCCTTCTTATTTAACTCATTATCCACATATTCCTTATCCACCTTCGTCATTATGTCGTTTAGGAAACCTTCTATGAATTCCTCATTTAAATTAAATCTTCCAATCTTCAAAACTTTAGGAAATGCATTTAATGCGTAATATCTCTGTTCTTCTGGTGGAATTGATGTTATATCATCCGTTATTCCTTTAATTTTTGAATTCATAAATAAAATTTCTTTTATATTTGATATCACTGCACCACCTTTGCAAACGAATTCGAAATGGTCATTTTTCAATACTATCTCCAAATCTCCATATTTCAACCTTTGCGTTTGTTCTGCCGTCTTTGAATTATATGCATATATGGCGTATGTAATAAGTTGTTGTGGTTGCTGTTGTTTAATCATTTATTATGATTTAAAAATAAATATTTAATCCATTATCTCATCAGCTATTTTCTCTATTTGAAATTGCCATAATATTTCATTCATAAATTCTAAATCACAATCAAATAGGTCAGTTATTCTAAATTTAATATTTGATAAATCTTTTGAATGAAGAATAAATGAATTCCCGGATAATTGAAACGGATATGATAAAGAAAATGTGTTTAAGTTGATGGATAAAATGTTTTGTATTGATGGGTAAGAGTTAGGGTCTAATGTTTGATGTGAAAATCTCATTGGGGTATTAACTTTATCACATTTGATTAAAATGAAATTGGAACCAGTGTCAGAATACAAAACATCCCCAACATCTTTTTCAAAATTTAATATCCCCAACAATGAACGAAGATGAGGAGTACAAAATTTAATTTTCAGGGAAATTTAATAAGGTTATTTATTTCATCAAGTTCAAAAAGTTTATCGGGTTTTGATTTAAAATTTTCTTCATACCATACGATAAATGATTCATTTAAATAACTTAAAATCATGTTAATATCCCATTTCGCTATCACATTATTTATATACATATCATACGTTTTTTCAAGGTCATCTTTAATAAATGATATATAATCTGAAGGGTCTAAAAGAATGGGATTAAATTTACCACTCACAGAAACGAGAGTAACATTATAAATTCCGCTAACTGTTAAATTTAATTCACAGTTATTATTCGAAATAATATTGATAATTGACATTTTTATTACGATTAAAAATATGGTAAAGCGTTATTTTCCAGTGATAAATAAAACTAGAATAAGATTACCTCAAGAATTCATAAATTCAACGAATAAGAAATTCATTCATGTTATAAATTTTAGTGTTTTCAGAAAATATGAGTCAGTGTCATATTCATCAACAGGTTATATTTCACTTCATTCAAATTTAGTTCAATCAAACCCATATAATGACCATTTCATAAGATTTTCAGATGGTATTAAAAATGTAATTGATAGATTAAAATATGAACAGATTGACAATATCGAATTTTTGGAATTTTGGTTTAAATATCCCGATGGAAAAAAGATTGAAGTTAAAGATAAAGCTGATACTATAACAAAAACAATTACAATGACCGATCCGGATAGTGGGGAACAAAAAGAAATAAAACAAACGATAGAAACTGGTGAAAGGTCAATTATTATTGATTATGATTCAAAGGATTATTATTCGATAATGTTAATGCTTGAATATTAAATAGCCTTAACAAAGAATTTTTCAAGTGATATTTTATATTCATCAACTATTTTATTATAAATATCATTATATGTTAAATGAAGTTCAGTTGTTGTTCCGTTCTTTGATATCTTAATTGTGCTAATATCCTTTATAGGATTTATTTTTGCAACTGTTCCGCAGCATGAAACCTCATCATCTATGAAAAATTGAATCTTAACGTCTGAATCTTGAACATCACAAAGAATGGCGATAATGTGAATTAATGATTCATAAGGTAAAATAATTAAACCGGATTGGTCAATTAAATTTATTATTGAATCATAATTATTAATTATTATATCACGGTAAATTTTCATTAATTCAGAATTAATGTCTATTTTATATGGGTTCTCGATGTTTGATGAAAGAGGCGGGGGGTATGTTGGATAAGTGGGAATTTCAACAGGTTCTTTACCAGGTTCAGATAAAATGATTGGGTCTCCATTCTCATGGTTTTCTTCATTCTCCTCATTCTTCGGTAAGTCACGAGTTAATAAATTTGGTTGAGTTGCTGACCTTGTTAATTCAGGGCTAACATTAACTTTAACATTTTGAATAATTCGTGATTTATCATCATTTACGTTATAACCAACCGTAATCTCTGCTTTTGCGTTAGTGTTCTTTTGACTAGTGAAACGTCTTCTCATTTATATTCGAATAAAAAAATATATTTAAACTTTTATTTTGCTGGAACTTTTGAATCTATTATTCCCTGTATTTGTTCATGAAGTTGATTTTTAGCTGTTTCATCGAAATTAATAGACCTAATATATTCATTAATTGCATTCTTATAATCATCTGATTTCTCAAATTTTCTTTTATCTGATTCCTTAACTAAATCATAAGTTAAACCTCGTTGCTGATATAATGGTTTCTTAATTAAATCTTTGAATGCTTGAGATAAAGCACCTGATGCAATTCTTGCTACTATAATTGGTTGGAATTGCTGTTTAAGTTCATCTTTAACATTTGCGAAAACTGGATCGAATAAAGCAACTTTAAAGAATTTCTTAGCTGAAATTTCAGGTCTAATATTTGCATATTGACCATCAAACTGGTTAGAATATCGTGGTAATCCATCCGGTCCCTCTTCAATAGCATTTAATTCTTCATTGAAATAAGAATATGGATTATAACGGTATGAATTAATTGGACCATTTTCACCTTCTCCAATGTATTGTTTAACAGCTTTTCCATTTTCATCAAATTGCATAGGATAACGTTCATTATATGCTTTACGTTTAGGATAATCAGATATAGTTAATTTATACCATTTATGACTTTAATATTACCTTGACCATCAGTAACGAAAACTTCATTTATACCATCAGGTTTTCCATTTGGACCCGTAATGTCTGCTTCGTGTGCTTCCCAATTTGGACCTTGACGTTTGGCATATGCTTGAGCTTCTGGTAATGTTAAAACGTTTCTCATTTGTTTAACATCTTTTTGAAGACCAGCAACAATATGAACTAATTCTTTCATTCCATCAGGAACTTTCATAGTTCTATTATATGCACCCTTTTTGTTGTTCCTTGTTTTAATGGAACCTGTAGAAGATTTGCTATTTCTGTCATGTTTAATTATAAATAAAAAATAAAAATTAATTATAAAAAGTTAATCAAATTTAACACTTCCTTTATTTAAATCAACTATTATTTTTCCATGTTCACCTAATTGCTGATATTGTGTGTAAAGTTCATTAATGCTCATTGGTAAATTCACTTGATAAAGCATAACGTTCAACTGTTGACGACTAAACCCACTGAAAATGAAAAGGTTGATAGATTTGATTTAATGTTTGTGCTTAATGCTTTGAAATATTGAACAGCCATAAAGAATGAACACTGAATGTGTCGACATTGAGTTAATAACTGATTAAAATATGATTTCTCATTTGTTATTAGTTTTGATTTCACTGCATCATCTAGAAAAATGAGTGAATGCAAAAATTCTCTATCAAAATTTGAAATAGAAAGTGTTTCAAATAATTCATCCCGTTGTTTATCAATAATTTTATCCTCTAATCCTTGCTTCTTGATTGTATTATATAATTCTTTATACATTAAAAAGTTTTTTAAATAATCTTCTGCTTCTTCTTGTGATAAATAAATAATTGGAATTTTGATTAAATGCTTTAAAGATTCAAATGTATCATCTGAAGGTGAACCTGAACGGTTGATATAAATTAACACATGTGAATGGGGGAAGTGTTAGCAATAATGATAATTTGTTTTAATATCGTTAATGTTTTACCTTTATTTGTTTACCAATTGCTGCAGTGATTGAATTTAAGTAACATTCAGAATATGGAATTTTCATTAATTTTTCCTTAGATAGAGCATTTCTATTATCACTCAATGCTTCATTAATCATATCATACGTATGTATTATATACTCCTGCTAATTCTTCATAAGGGTGGATGAATTTAAATCCATTTAATCAAAAATAAATTTATAATTTTAAACATTTCTATTCATCAATATTTCATCATATGAACTTCTATACTGTGGTGGTGTACCTGTTGGATGATATTTCAAACCTTCATCCGGTGTCCATGTCCAATATGTAGTCCTAGTAAACCAAACCTGAGGAGGATTTGTCACCTTTGAACAGTAAGTGTCATTTTCACCCTGAATGATTGGATAAGCTTTCACTTGTACTGTAACTTGTGAGTTGAAAGTTTCTAATCCATCAAAGAATATACCCGCTCCATCACGTTGAACTGGAATAGTGCATAAGAATGAAGTTTGGTCTTTCCATGTTCTAGCTAATGGCGTGCCATCATCATCATTCAGTGGTCTAGTTAATGAGTCCTCGTATTCTTCCGTGCATTCATTCACTCCATCTAAATCAGAAGCTTGAAGCATACGTGTAAAGAATATGTCACCCACTGTGGTCATCGCTTGATCGGGGAAGTTTCTGGAATCTATAGTGACCTGAAGACCTCGAAGCATTGGATTTTCTAAAACCGTTCTTTGCATTGCATTCTTCGGAAATGTTAACACAACATCTGTAACATTATGAAGAGCGTATGAGAAATCTGAGCTAATACCTTCAGGAGTGATGCAACCTCCATTTAGTGAACGAACGTCAATATGTTGAGCTGGAATCATGAATGGATCTTCCTTACTGAATAAACGTGGTATTGCTTTAACTGATTCTTCAATTAAACCGTATCCTGGTGTAATGCATTTATCCTCTAAAACTTCCATCTTTGTGCATGAAATAATAACGTCATCAACTGTTGCGTCAGCAGATGTAGCGGCTAAGCTTGTAATTAATTTGGCAGGAAGTCCGATTTGTTGGAATTTGCGATCATATTTATAAACATGATTCATAATCTTTTCATAATTTTCATCAGTTATCTTTTCATAAACGTAATTTTGTAAATCAGCAACTCTTAACGGGTCAACCTGACAAAATACTAAAGTATCCCTGAAAACATAATATTTAAGAATGATATCACCAAATGATTTAGGATAATCATCGAACGCCTGAAATGCTAACAAATCATTTACCGGAATAATCATATCAAAAGTGACATCAACTTCTTCATTTGCTTTCTTGAAAACTTCTGAAGGGTCAATATATTTACCACATACTGAGTTATCATATTTTTGAACATTATTATATAACGAATGAACAAACTTTTTAACTTTCCTTTCTGATTTTGGTTTATATGTTGCAAATGCGAAAGATTCACGGGCGCAATCCATCTGAAGATAACCGGCATCACCTCTTT